CGCCCGTCACTAGCCGTCTAAGTACGATATATATCTCAAATAATGTATGCACTGTCATTTCCCCACGTAAACATAACAGTCTGCAATGAAATGGTTGTCTCCTGTGCGCTTCACTTCCTCCTTGGCGCACCGGTAACTTTCTCAACAAAAAAAAGTGCTCACGAGTTAGTAAAAAAAAAAGTCAGGATAACGAGTTAGTATCTCGTGCGCACGAGAAACGTTCTCGTGGACACGAGATACTAACTCGTTATCCTGACTTTTTTTTTTCTCTCTCTGTTTTTTTTTTTTTTTTTACATGTCCCTTTTAGGGGCTCCGTAAAGTACAGCTAATCTAACCAAGGTATAAATTATAGTAGGATGTAACGCGTGCATCATTTTATTTTCAAGGTTTGTGCATTCACACTAAATATCTCAAAGCTCAATGTCCCACCAAAAGTCTTACATTAAAGGTTCTACATTGTTTTTATTTTGTATTACAGGAGCAGTTCCACGCAGCCTTTTAGTTTTGAGCCTGACTCCATGGCCAGTGCACTGGACAGATTACTAGGTATGTAGTTCTGTAACAGTAAAAAGAATGAGCAGCGACATGCCACATCTTTCTCTGACTCTTTGTAATCTTTATAGGAACCACAGATGAGTTAGATTCAGATGATCTAGATGATGAGGAGGATGATGATGAGGAAGATGACGATGAAGAAGATGAAGTCGGGTCGCCTGGTCACGCACAGATGAACGGGACAGATAGTTTGGACGGTCTCAGAAAATACATGGACCAAATGGATCAGGAACTAATGGGAACTAATATAGGACAAAGCTTCAATGTGACGGTAAATCATATAAAACATTTCCCCATATGTTTGTTTATCACACAAGTGTCCTCCTAAATAGTTATGGGTATTGTTGGGGAAACAATTACTATTGCCTTTACAGAAAGTATAGTCGGTAACATATTCCAGGTATAGCAATTTTAAAGTAACATGACTTATTTACATCCAACACGGAAAACTATAATAATGACGAGACAAATGTCTATTTCAGAATCTGAATACCTTTATTAGTCCCACGGAGGGGAAATGTGCGTAGTAACAGCAGGAAAAAAAGGCACAGACAGCTTAATGTTACATATGTTAAATATGTGACATGCATTTAAAAAAAGTACTAAGTTATGATATATTACAAAAAATAATACAAAATAAAAAGTTACATAATTAAAACAAAATACACATCCTGTAACAGTTCTTAGGATTTAGCAGCCAGGTATATATTACACAGTTATTAACGGTATCTATATATATTGCACATCTAGCACATATTGCACATAGGTGGTTGGTATTTAACAGCAGCAAATTTAAAGCAAGAACATCACAGAACAGCTTACAAGAGAATGGCACATTTTAAACCGTGAAAGCATTGAGGCCATTGTGTGAGACTTGTGTTTTAAATGTAATGCGTGTATGGTAGTATATTGTCCTTTTATTTAAATGTAATATTTATTAACTGTATTGGTTATGTCATGGCCTGGCTCTTAGCCATAAGAAACGCATGGAAAGGACAAGAATATATATATGAAAGATGTTTATTTTAACAAAACTCAACGTGACCAAAGCCAAACAAAAAGGCAAGACAAAAGAATTAGCGACGTGGCTGAACAGGTCCTCTGCGGAGAGAGAGATCGAAACTCTGGCTCAGGCCTTTCAATCCTCCGGTGCCAGCAGCCAGGTGTCCTCAATCAGTCCTGACACAAACAGAGAGAGAACATTAAAGGGCCATACCCACACCACAGGAGACAGTAAAGCAGGGGTCGTCACACCCCCCCCCCCCCCCCCCCCTTAAAGTCGGTGTCCCTAGGAACACCGGCATAACAAACCAACCCCATCCCAAACAAAAAAACAAACGGTAATAGAAAAAATATATATATGGCACCCTATCTTAAAGAACCATAATTGTGATATATGACCTTCATACAGCAATCCTCGTCTTCAATAACCAGCCACATCTTTAGTAACCCAGGTACCTGAGAAGCACACTTTAAAAAGATGGGCAGAGCGAGAAAGATTTAATAAGACAGTATGAAAGTCAATATATTAATGTCACAATAGTTCCAGTCCACATTTTACCAATCACATACAGCCAGAAATCTTCCAACGTTCAAACGGCTGACCCTACTCCGGCTCATGCCGAGCACCTGCCCCAGGCAACAAAACCTCGACACGACCCCTACTCAGGTGGTCAAGACCTTTACACACAACCCGGTTCACATGGCAGGTCCCAGCAGAATGGGAAACAGCAGCACTCTTCAACTCAGCAACAGACAAAACATGTTCAAAACCCCTGTGCAAAGAATGGTCACAGCAATGACCCTGGAAAACCCCACTGCGAGACAGGGAAGGCTCTGACAGAGATGGGACCCCCATGACCACGGCAGAGCCGCTGTCCAGAGACAACTCATGAACTGATTCGGCCACAACACATGCGCTCTTGCAGTACGAAGTGACCTCTGGACCCACCTTGGAGCTCTTCACAGATACAGAACCAGCCAAACCACAAGTGACGAAAGGTACAGGAGGAGTGTCATTCCAAACTCTGCAAGCCATTACCCAACACAAAATGTACCCCTATGAAAGGCAAAGCTGGACTCACCGTGACAGCTACTTCGCTCAAGGTCACAGTCAAGATAAACCCTGTGAACAGGAACGGGGGAACCTTCAATCTTATCCCACGACTCCGAACAGTCACCAGTGTCAGTCTCATCAGACAAAGGCAAGACAGATTTTACGACGAAGGAATCATAGGATCCGGTGTCCCTCAAGATTTTTATTGGAACTTTCACATCACCATTGACCAATGAAACAAATCCATCTCTAATGAAAGGGGCAAACGATGCCAAAACATTGGGGTTACAGAAGTGAAATGTAGGCACCTCAGAACCAAAACAGCGTTTTACCGGGGCAGTGAATGCAGCAGGCCTAACATCACTTCTCACTCTCTAGTTCCTAGCCCCTAGAACAGGACATGCTGCCTTCCAATGTCCTTCCTCATGACAATAGTTAAAGTGATTCACATTTCCAAAGTCGGAGTTCAAGAAACCTGCTGGCTTTGAACGTGTCTCAGACGAAACAGCAGCAGAACCATTACCTCATCAAAACCACTGGGAAACACAGAACGCTCTCTGAAATTACTCTTATGGAGCAACACAAACTCATCGGCTGCCACAGCAGCCTCAACAGCAGAAGTGACCTTTCGTTCTGTGACATATGTTGCAATGCGATCAGGAAGAACATTTCTGAACTGCTCCAAAATCATCAGGTCACATGAATTATCAAAATAAATTATATCGAGAGATCAACCAACGCCAAAATGAGTGGACAAATCCCTCGCTATCTCCACGTACGTTTGGCCATGTTTTCCCTCACAGGACCTGAAACGCTGACGATAGGCCTCTGGCACTAGTTCATATGCTTTAAGAACAGCAGCTTTTATTTTAACATAGCTAAAGCTATGTTCCAGAACACAACACCGGACCTTTAAGCCGAGAGAAGGAAAACAAAAACAAACCGGACCGACACCACAGCGTTTATTATACGTACAAAGTGGAACAATACTAACTTTTTGATTGGAGTTTCCCCACTAACTATTGACCATCCCACTGACTAATCTCCTCCCTAGTCTTCATGCAGTTACTTGTGGTGGGTATTTATGCACTGGAGACCGCTGGCCCAGCAAAGGGACTAGCAGGCTAGCAACACTACTGAAACCACGGCCATGCTCCCAAGCCGAAGCTTCAACCACTTTCTCTGCAACACTACACACCCAGCTCAACAATCCCAAGGGAACCGCCGCTAACACCTAAAAGGGAAAGCTCCGCACTGCTCCACATACAAAGCACCAACAAACCCACACGTGTCAACGAGAGAGAGAGGGAAAAAAACAAAAAACAAACAGCTGACCACGGCTAAGAACAACTGACAAACACTCTCCTGAAATATAATACAAAACAAATCATAGCCTCACAAAGTAATTTAATCAGTCCTCAAACAACGATCTGAAATATAAATGTCCTTCCCACACGCGGTCTAATGAGCCGAAACAAAGAAACCGGCCGAACTGCATGCGCAAACAAACTTCACACACCAACTCCTAGCACAAATCCTACCTATCCATTGCTGGAGTACAGATAAAGGAAGTGGACAAGCCCCCAGCTGTCATGGCCTGGCTCTTAGCCATAACAAATGCGTGGAAAGGACAAGAATATATATATGAAAGATGTTTATTTTATTTATTTATTATTTTCAAAACTCAACGTGACCAAAGCCAAACAAAAAGGCAAGACAAAAGAATTAGCGACGTGGCTGCTCTCCCAGAACAGGTCCTCTGCGGAGAGAGAGAGAGATCGAAACTCTGGCTCAGGCCTTTCAATCCTCCGGTGCCAGCAGCCGGTGCTCAATCAGTCCTGACACAAACAGAGAGAGAACATTAAAGGGCCATACCCACACCACAGGAGACAGTAAAGCAGGGGTCGTCACAGTTATTACGTTACGTATTTTTGGGTAATTGTAACAGTTGCCTTTTTGTGTATCCCTATTATGTACGTCTTTCCATGTGTTACTGTTTTTGTCCTTTCTGCAGAATCACAACAAGGCAGGATTGGACAATGGCGGCCCTCATCCCTCTGCCACGGACAGTTTCCCAACACATGAAGGTATGGAAGAGACGGAGGAGGAGATCCAGCCTCTGGATGTGGATCTGAACCTGGTTGCCAACCTGCTGGAGTCCCTCAGCTGCCAGGCCGGGCTCGCCGGGCCGGCCTCCAACCTGCTGCAGAGTCTGGGGATCCACCTGCCCCCCAACTCTGACCCCTCGTAAAGGAAAGACTCAGGTACTTTAACATGGAAGAAGGATCAGCATTCACAGTTTACCAGGCTTCTCCTAAAGCTGTTAGTTAAAACCTTTATTCACATTGATTACACATCTGTTGGCAAAGTACTCATGGAAGTCGAAGATGTCCTGTAAAGCTTTTATTGTAAACAACACACTTCTGTTTACATTTGGTATTTCTCACTGAAATGATTGTGTACACTGTGAAACTGTATACTTTAGAAATCATAAATGGGTTGGGTTAATTTCCTTTTATTATGAAACATTAACAAAAACGATTGGATTGTTTGTAGCTTACAGTTGGTATAAAATGTACACAAATATCATACATGTGCACAATACATAAATAAAAAACAGACATAGACAGAAAATTCGCATAATGCAATTTTGGTCAGGCTAATACAATATTGTTATTTTGGTTTGGTCCATATTGGTGTGCAAGTCATGCTATAAATATGCATACACATTTTGTATAGTATGCCACCATCGATCATGTATGATTGGAACATGCCATAAGGCTGTGTCAAAAGAAATGCATCTAGTATTTAGTTACAAAATAATTGTGATTTGAATAAATGAAACGTTTTCATGTTTACACAGGATGTATTATACATGCTGCTCTGTGTAATGTTGGAATGTGTGTATCGTTGGTGTTTTTTAAGCACTTACATTTGGTTGTTAAAAATAAGAATAAATATTTTTGGAAATAAAGTCTGAGTTTATTAAATGTATACAGATTCTCTCTGGAGTCTCAACAAAGTCCTTATTTAGCTTCTGGTAATAAGTTAAAGAGTAAACTAGACTTGTTATCACGATCCCTTTTCATCTGACTGACCTTAGCAGTCAGATTCATTCAAGGGCAACTTCTTCAAACAAACCTCTGGTTAAAAATTATTTCAGCTAAGGATCTGAGTTAAACAATGTTTAACACTGTTAAGTAAACTCAATATAGCATATTCTACGGTCTGTGTCCACGTTCCTTATCGTGGGCCCTTATCATCTGAAAGAACTCTCAGAATCATTCAAGGACAAACATGGCAAATACATATTTTCATCTTAAATACTGTTTTATAAATAATTTCACATATAGGCTACAGTATGGTCAAAAAGTCTGTGTTCGCTATCAAGAACATGGTGTTGTTGTTTATCAGCCAATTATCTCTTTTTTTTTAAAAAGCCATAATATTTGAATCCACACAGTTTTTGCACCAATACTACATTAAACAAATATGCTTGTTTAATGTTGTATTGGTGCAAAAACTGTGTGAAAGAGTCTTTCGCTAAAGAATTTGAAGACATCCACCTTCTTGTGACGCGTAAATACTACACTTCCTATGTAGGTGCACCAGAGTCCGGTTGTTTAGTTCACTTCAGAGGTCTCGGACTGCGTTCACACCAACTCAAACGAACCGCACCAAGCGGCTAAACGCACCAGGGTTCGATTCAACTGGACTATACAAGGCTGGTGTGAATGCGACCTATACTGCTGATAATGACTTTTCATTGCTTTCAAGAAGTTCTTCTTTACCTAACTGGAACAGGGAGGTCTTTTTTTTAATATTGTTTGGAATTCATGTGTTTTGTTTGTACTGCTTCCTGTCCTCTACACGTGCTCACTTTGCCTCAGTTGCTTCAGACATTGTCTCATCCTGGCAAATATTTTAAAACAAAGTTCCCCCAAGTTAATGAGCATCGAGTGCAGTAAATAGACATGTGTTGAGGGCATATGGAGTACATGTTAGTAAAACATATATGTAATCTAATAGAAACAACACTCTTTTATTTACCTCATTTTGAAATGGTGTAATCTTGACCCTACAACTAAGGACTGGGTAATAAAAGAATAAAAACATGTCAAAATTGTATTGGAGCCAACTGTAAATCATTAGCTTGTTGCAATATACTTCTGTATTTTATCTCAGGGACTACTGTGTATGGAAAAAAGGTGGTGATGTATCCCGTAAAATGACACTGAGGCCATTAATGTGGATTACATAACAATGTATGTGCGTCCCATTAATACAGTAAAAGAGGCAATGGACTACATCAGCTGGAGGAACGGCTGCACCACCTGCCTCGCTGAGTGTAGCAGTGCAGCAGCAAGAGGGGACACACACAGAGCCGACATACCGACCAGGAAGTTGAGCGCCATGCCCAGCAGCAGAATGGCGTGCAGATACCCGTGGAAGAGCAGGCTTTGCCAGCCGCTGTGAGTCAACACCTGCCAGGGACTGTCTGGGTGCAGCAACCACAGCAGGCCCAGCAGCCAGCTCTGGTTCACCAGCTGAGTGTAGTAGATGTCAAAAATGGAGGCTTGGGCATCGGGGGAGTGGTGGCGCTCAGCCTCGGACACTTTAGCCAGCCACGTCAGAGACAGACTGTGGAGGATTACATCCAGAGGTGCATACATGTACTCCAGCAGATCCACACTTGGCAGTCCCTGTGAGGCTGCAGAAAGAAGGAGGAAGCTGATTAAAGGTGCTTGTATTTGGAATCGTTTCAACTCTGAATAACATTTTTACCTGTGATGACGAAAGAAGTCCCACCCAGGATGGACATAAGTACAGAGATTTCCATAGACGGAGAAGATGACAGCTTCTGAGAGAAACTGAAGCCCATAGTTACCATGGGGAGCAGAGGCAGCATGAGGGGGAAGAGGCCGGCATAGGAGCTGCCTGCTTTGGCCCACATGGAGAGCACAGCATGGGTGCTGCTGCAGATAGAGGGCACCAGCACCCTCTCACCCAGGGACCTGGAGTAAGGCTTCAGAGGCACCAGACCCAGCACATGGAGGAGTTTAAGGAATAAGATAGAGATCAGAACCTGGGGAAGATAATGTGAATATAAAGAGTTAAAGTTTATATTAAAAAAACATTAAACACTCAAATATATGGGGTGGAAGTATTTCAGTGACACTGACTGCTGATTTAGGATTTTGAACAACAAACTCCATCAGTTGCTACAAGTCATTTACAAAATCATTGTTGAATGCATAAACAAATTAGTATGTCTATTTTTAGCTTTTATGTTGATAGAATACTGGAAAATTAATTGCAATCATATTAGATAACCATTTCTGTTTTGTTTCCATAATTTACTATAGCTTGTTTTATGACCACAGATAAACACACAAATGAAGGATAAAGATCTGGGTGTGCGGACACAAAATAGAACATTCCTATAAAACTCTGTCACTGACATAACTACACGCATAAGTACGCAATACCTTTAACCTTAATTTAGAGCCTTTTATTGTCATTATACACAGAGTATAACGAGATTCAGAGTGCAACTCTGTCCGGGTGTGCAACAAATACAAACAAATACATAACACTAAAAAACACAGCAATAGGACAGACAACATACAATCATACGGGGGAATAAATAGTTAAAAATATTGATATAAAGTGCATTTAAAAGTGTGTGTATGTGTGAGAATGGTTACAGTTATTGCATTATGTGTGGTGGTTGAGCAGCCTGACGGCCCAGGGGTAGAAACTGTTTTTGAGTCTGTTTGTCCGTGACTTGAAGCTCCTGTATCTCCTCCCAGAAGGCAGGAGAGAGAACAGTCTGTGACCTGGGTGAGAGCTGTCCTTTATAATTTTGTTAATCACTGCTTTGTGCACTATGAACAGTGTTAACTTGTGTCATTCAGCCTTTACAGCTGTCCCCCACGCAGGTCTTTACTTCAGTCCTTGTAAATCACTTGCACATGTGACATAGTAAATCAAACCACATTTACAAACCTTGTCATATATATAATTAAAGGCAATACCCACATGACTTATTGACAGTCACTGGCAACAGTTTCAACCTTTTTATGCGGCTACATTGAAATCTCTGTCCTTTCTGGTCAGCCATTTGGTTGAACATCTATTAGGCCGGGTGTTAATCAGCACTAAAGACCTTCTGTCACAACCCACCACTAACACTATCACACGCCCTCCTGTCCTCCAAACTAAAAAAAACACACACAGACACACACACACACTCATAGCAAAGACAAAGTTACATTGTCAACACCCTGCGCGTCATTGTACAGTTGTAAAAATCTTAATGATTAACAATTTTAGAGAATTATTAATGAATTACACATAATTGATTTATAATTGTTTTATGATCATTTTGATAAAAATAATGATTTTTTTAAATCAGCATTTTCTTGCATAAATGTACATACTTTACGTGCAAGTTTTAAATATATAAACATATAAGGTAACATTGATGTCTTTTTAATAATTAATTAAATACACAGGTAGTCAATGGCAAACAAAGATGCGTGCATGTTTGATTGATTCAGATTCAAATGTGAATCATCATTAGAATGGAGCCAGGCAGCCTACCTGGGCGAGGGAGAGAGCCACTGCATAGGGGTAATGGTACTGAGGGACGAAGATGTCAAGCACAAAGTTTCTGAGCTTGTCTCCCAGGCCGTATATAACCAAGACCAGCAGGAAAAGTGTGGGGACCAAGGGCTTCAGAGCATGATTGGACAAAAGACTCTTCTTTGCAGAGGGACACCATCCCCTTCTCCACCTCCTTAAACTAACAAAAGGATATTATTGTATGAATCATGCAATTAAAAATACACAGTTGTGAATGTGTTTGGTAAGAATGGTATTTTTTAGTTAAAATAACACAATCTTAAAAACTAAGCCATCTGTGGCAGTAGCTTATGTATGGTATATGCCACTGTTCCTAATACTGGGTTAAATGAGTCTACATTTCACTGTGTGCTGTGTAAAGGTGTTCAAATTAAAACGCTTATTCAGAAAATCCTCCATTCACATTTACATAAAACCAAATTATGCTCAGATAATAAGTAAAGTTCCTTAGCCACCTGGAGGAGGATGCTTTGTTTGACTAAATAATGATAATGTGTGATGCAAATAAAGTTTGGCTACATACACTGTTGGCTTTCTCATTTGCCTGATTCCCAGAATAACAGATGTAATCTTACCTTTTACCTAAAAGACATAATGTCATTTTGTGCAAAGGTCACTTGCTGCTGGGATCTGAAGCCAGTGTGGGGAAAAGAGACATTTACATAAATCCAACAGACCAGAAAGGAAATCCATTTGGACTTCAAGCATTCTCAACTGTTATTGCTGTGCTGTTTACAGAGGAACTATTTTACATACGTGTCTTAAATTCAAGACAGCCAGCAAAACAGCCCGTCTTATCTTGTTTGGTAGTATGGGGTTACATTATAGTTCTTACTCAGTGCTACACAGCCATTATGTTAACTGCAAGTGTGTTTTTCCATTCAATGGTTTTATTACTTGTATTACTTAATAACATTTTTGTATTGATATGCGTTTCATTTTTCTTCGCCAAACTGCGACACAATCTTCCATACTAAACTAAAGTTCATTATTAGGCAGGAAAATAAAGAATAAAACCAGATCCATATAATAAACAGAATTCTATAATAAAAGTGTTTAATTTAATAACAGAATATTTTAGATCTATATTTACACAAATTCAAGAGCGTTAATATCTTGTTTTTATTTGTAAAATAAAGCTGAATACATGGTTAGAAACAAGCCTACTAAAAGATCACATCCAACACACTTTTTGTATGTTACAGACCCACATATGGACATTTTCTTTGGCTATAATTATACCTTCGTAAAAATCATACAGCTATAATAGGCTATTAGCTTAGCATTTAGAGGGCAAAATACACTTTTAACATTGTGGACCTGTTTCGTGACGCAGAAAAAAAAAAGACAAAAGCGCGACAGTATACAAATAAACTTTACTTACCATGTGAAATTCCTCTTAAAGCCGTATTCCATCTTTAAAATACACACATTTCCCCTCGGTGGCAAATCCTAGGCTATCACCAAATGATAATAACACCGTTTTAGTGTAACAGAGAAGACTTTACGGATGTGTCTCCTGTTGCTGAATGATGCGTCTCTCTGATGTGCAGCGGACATTCACCTCTTCTCTGTGTCTTGGAGAATGGACTTTGGTCCTCATTTGTTTATTTTCCCATAATTAAAGAAGCAATCCTCCGTGGAAACTTTTTTTACAATTAAAAGTCCGTTTCACCCAAGAAACACAGCAAAACTGTATGATCTTTGTTTGCTGACACATTTTATTACTAAATGTTTGATAGTGAGTCAGCAGCCTCCTGAGAGGAATGCGACCCACAAATGCACCTCAAATTGATAATACATGCATGTTTAAATATATTGATGCACGTTCTGCTAATGAGAGAACCATGGCTCTCTGTTTCTTTCCAGCTTTGACACCTGTTTGTGACATTCCTGACACTTTTCCTCCCAGCTTTGTTCCCTCCCCCTCCTCTGTGTGGATCCATGAAGCTGCACAGATCATTATGGAGACCATGAGCCACATGGCGGTAGGAGCTGACCCTATGGTTAGCTTAAGTAAACAGAGTCCTGATGGTGGAGGTGCACTCTGGAGCAGTGAGCCAGCCTCTGATTGATCCAGAATACTATAGCAACAAACCTAGAACCCGCTTGACTCAAAGGCTCTGGGTGCCATTAGGTCTGGTTCAGTATTTTAAAACACTCACGTCACTGATCATATGTGTACATTTTACATGCAAGTGAAATGGCATGCCACTAGTATGAGCTACATGTGTTTATTTATATTTTTCACCTTGGTTGTTACCAATAAACTCTCTCAGGAGGGGGCAGTCATACTCTGTTTTACAGTTTTTTTCAATTGCTAAAACACGTTTTTTGAAAGACACAATTCACAAAGCCACACACACAAAGTGCAAAACACCTCATATACTGCAAAATGAAGCACTGCACTCAGAACTACATAAATACTTACCAAAACCAAACTTTTGCACCAAATGGCACACACTTCATTTATAGTAAAATACTCTTTGTCCAACCAACTACACACTGGTGCTCAATCTAAAGCACACACATTTGTTATGGTGTTCTGTATGTAGAGAATTCTGCATATAAAGATTGTTCAAGTCTACAAAAACATGTGCAGGAAAACAAATATACTGTTGTTATACTTCTATTTTTCTCAAAAACAAATTGGTGCAACATTCATGCACAACACATAGTTACAGCTGCGTAAACAAAAATGATGCCTCTGTCAAATACAGGAAATGGAAAGGAAAACTTTGAGGAAAAAGAAATACAAAAAATATGTTTACAAAAAACAGAGGAAAGAAAAGTGCTGAGGCTGCATCTCGCCACCTAGCTGGGTCTGGCCCCAGCGCCTCATCCACATGCAGAAGAAGCATGCATCCATTGGCCTGACAGTCACAGTTTCAACCGTTATGCTGCAAGTAACTTTATTGCATTTGCTTAATTGTATTGAATATTCTTTAAGAAACTGTTTTTTTTTTTTTTTGGCCTGACAGATTTTTTTAATATACAGCCCAAAATGTTCTACCAGGCTGGGGATTTTAACCCACATCTCATACAATTCTAGATATGGACTAGCTGCTTTGAGCTATACAGCAGCTTAAGTAGGGACGATTGATTTGAAATCATTAGAACACATGGCCTTTTTTTTGTCCCTCCGAGGTAGGGGGTGTCCCCTTTCGGCTGGCAAGGACACAAAATCTCTCAAAACATGAAAACTCACAAAGATTATATAGGAAATTAAAACATAAAAAGACCTGTACCTTTGTGTATATTTTCGTATAAAAAGCAGCAAACAGAAATCTTTGTTCCCATTTATAAACCAAAATTGTAATTGTTATTTTAATTTGTTTTTGCTGTAAAACATTTTTTAATTCAATATAATGGAGTTTTATATAAAAATTAGGGCTGTCAAGTTAACGCGTTAATAACGCGTTAACGCAACAAAAAAAAATTAACGCCACTAATTATTTTAACGCGATTAACGCATGTGTATTTGTTGTCCTCGGCCGCCCCGTAGTTTCAGAGCGCATCGAGTTTAAAATACCATCTACAAGCTGATGCTGACAGCCCCGCTCCTGTCGCCCGCTTGTGGCAGACCACACTTCCACGCTCACCGGCAGGCACCGACTGGCTGTTGGGAGGACCGGGAGGGTGTGTGTATGTGTGGCCCGAGCGAGCGAGAGAGAGACCTTACGTGCATTGTTGTTGTTAGCATCTGGTGCTAGCTAGCTGCGCTAACGGATATGGAGCTGTTTAAATGAAAACTATGAGGGGCCGTACAGGCCATAATTCATACTGGTCCTCTCACGCACATACATTCTCCTTTTACATACATATATTTTCACTCTTACATACATACATTCTCCTTTTACATACATATATTTTCACTCTTACATACATACATTCTCCTCTTACATACATATATTTCACTCTTACATACATACATTCTCCTCTTACATACATATATGTGTGCATCTGGACCCGGTGACGACATTACCTATTGACGCAGCAACCACTGTAAGTTATATTCTTGTTTAATTAGACTTCTCTGTTTCATTTATTCGACTCTGTATAAATTGTTATTGTAGCGTAAACGGCTAAATCGCGTTTGAGAGATTTTAAATCTCAGATCTGCTCAGGCGAAACCTGCTTTACAGGTCTCAGCACTCAAGCCTGCATTAATATAGGCACGGCCAGTCTATTGATAGCGTGAAGTACAACCGCGTGACTCAGTCATTTTGTACCTTAAAAAGCATTCAAATACCGCATTTAAAATCTGATGAACTCAGTGTGCATCTGGACCCGGTGACGACATTACCTATTGACGCAGCAACCACTGTAAGTTATATTCTTGTTTAATTAGACTTCTCTGTTTCATTTATTCGACTCTGTATAAATTGTTATTGTAGCGTAAATGGCTAAATCGCGTTTGAGAGATTTTAAATCTCAGATCTGCTCAGGCGAAACCTGCTTTACAGGTCTCAGCACTCAAGCCTGCATTAATATAGGCACGGCCAGTCTATTGTCGCCCATCAGCTGTAGATAGTTAACTAATTAGAGGGCCGTGGCCCTACAGCTGTGAGAACTGAGCAATCAGGCGTCCATTTCGGGTAGCTCTTTCCTGGAGCGTCAGCTTCAGCGTCAGACAGCCGAAGACATTGGAGTCCTGCGGGAGTAAGACTGACAAAGACATTGGAGTCCTGCGGGAGTAAGACTGACAAAGACATTGGAGTCCTGCGGGAGTCACGAGGGAGGCAAAGAGGAGGCAAATCCTACTCTGATCGAGCTGGTGTCTTATTTCTCTTTTCTTTAGTTTTCTAGCCCCTCATGCTATAATCATGTGTATTTTCTCTATTCCTGTTCATGTGTCTTCTCGCAATTATCACTGGCCCCGTGTATCTCCTAATCGATATAACCGGCCTGCTCTCGTCTATCCCACGTGCTCCACTGAGATCCAACATCTAGTTTCTGGTGGCCTGTGGAATTGCCATTTGCCAGTCAGCTGTTCCTAAGGCTGACTTCATCTCTGGCTACGCCTCCCTGCAGTCTCTGGATTTCCTTGCTCTCACTGAGACCTGGATTACTCCATCCAACACATCCACCCCAGCAGCTCTCTCCACTGCATCTCTCTGTAAACCCGCTCCACACATCCGATCACTTCTTCATTTCATTCTCTCTATCCCTTTCCAAACATAACAAACTAATCTCTTCTCATCCTGCACTTGTCCGCCGTAACCTTCGCTCCCTCTCCCCCTCTAGCTTTGCCTCGTCGGTGCTCTCAGCCCTCCCTTCCTCTGATTCGTTCCATCTCCTGCCTCCAAACTCTGCTGCAGAAACTCTCCTCTCTACTCTCTCATCCACTCTGGACTCGCTCTGTCCTCTCACATCTCGGCAGGCTCGTCAGTCCCCTCCTGCTCCCTGGCTAAATGATGCACTGCGTGCTAATAGAACCGTCCTTAGGGCAGCAGAGCGGAAATGGTGGAAATCCAAACACCGTGACGACCTCCTAACCTATCAGGCTCTCCTCTCCTCTTTCTCTGCTTCGATCTCTCAGGCAAAAAGCACTTTCTTTCAAGATAAGATCCGATCTTCCTATTCCAATCCTAAAAAACTATTTTCCATCTTCTCCACCCTCTTGGACCCTCCAAAAGCTCCTCCCCCCTACTCACTTCTGTCAAGCGACTTTGTTACCCACTTTGAAAAAAAGGTTGATGATATTCGCTCTTCTTTTTCTGACTCACCTTTACTCACTGCTGGGTCACCAGACCCTCCTTCCACCAACACACTTACCTCCTTTTCCCCTCTCTCTCCAAGTGAGGTTCTTACCCTCATTACCTCTGCCCGCCCTACCACCTGTCCTCTGGACCCTATCCCTTCAAACCTCCTTCAGACTATCGCTCCTGATATTCTACCGTTTCTCACCCATTTCATCAACACTTCTCTAACTTCTGGTCACTTTCCAAACAGTCTCAAGGAGGCAAGAGTAAACCCTCTCCTAAAGAAACCCACTCTCAACCCGTCTGATGTTATAAACTACAGGCCTGTCTCTCTCCTCCCGTTCCTGTCTAAATCACTTGAACGCGCTGTCTTTAAACAACTCTCCTGTTATCTCAATCAGAACAACCTTCTGGATCCGCACCAGTCTGGTTTCAAGGCAGGTCACTCCACAGAAACTGCTCTCATTGCTGTCACGGAGGAACTGCACACTGCCAAAACTGCATCCCTCTCCTCTGTCATCATCCTATTGGACCTGTCTGCTGCATTCGACACGGTGAATCATCAGATCCTCCTTCGCACTCTCCAAAAACTTGGAGTTTCAGGCTCTGCACTTTCCCTCCTCACCTCATACCTGAAAGACCGTACCTACAGGGTGACTTGGAGAGGGTCTGAGTCCGACCCTTGTCAATTAACTACGGGGGTCCCTCAGGGCTCTGTTCTTGGTCCCCTCCTCTTCTCCCTGTACACAAACTCGCTCGGATCAGTCATTAGCCCGCATGGTTTTTCTTACCACTGCTACGCTGATGACACCCAATTAATTCTGTCCTTTCCCCGCTCAGAGACCCAGGTCGTTGCACGCATCTCTGCTTGTCTA